CATCAACCACAGGTTCTGAAAAATAAGGTGATTATTAAATGCGTATCAACATGAAATTGTATTGTGAAAAATGCAACTGACATTACTATTTCAAAACCTTCACCTGTAGACCCTATATCTTTACAACTGCCATTAGCACGTCAAACAATTGAGAGTAATGATAATATTTTTAATCTTTACCGTAGCAGGCTTCCAGATGAAACCCCTTGTACACCTGATTTGGTTGTTCCAAATGATTCTTTTCCTATAGAGGTACATGAAGAAGATGCAAATTATAATAGGTTAATAGCAGGTTCAATTATACCTAACAATCATAGGCTACCATTATTATTTGGAAATCCTGATTTAGAAGCCCTGATGTTTCCTGACCTTTTTCCTAATGGAATAGGACATTATGAGTATGTTAAAAATGTTCTAAATTTTCAGCCTTCAGTAGACAGTTATGGAAAATATATAAAAATACGGATGCTTTGTCCTGATCCACGGTTTCGCTTACATTGGTATCGGCCACATTGGTCATATTTACAACTTGAAAAAAGGAGAAATTTTCAAAATCAACATCGTATATTATCTACCCGAAATTTAAATCGTGAACATCACCCAACACAAACTGATTTAATTGCTCAAAGTTCATATAATAATTCAAAGGTTTTAGATGAAACAAAAACTACAACATTACCTTCAAGTCTAAGAACTGCATCTCCTTTCTTTAAAAAAAAACAGCTTCAAGTCAATACAATGATAAGTGCTTATGGTTTACCTCAAATATTTTATACTTTGACAATGGCAGAGGGTGAATGGTCTCATATACAGCTTGTTTTTTATTAATATCGTGCGACATAACAATTATCATAGAAAAAAATAATTGCTCATACACGGAAACAAGTAATTAATCCAACTACTCCTGAAGATACTCATTCTAATTTTAATACTCATGATCCTCAACAAAATATGAATTTTCCTACTACATATGAGGAACTTATGGCTGTACACCGAGAAAAACTTTTGGATTTAAATCTTACTCTTTGTTGAGAATGTTTCTATGCAGGAAGGGGAATACTGTAGGGAACACAAACCATCATATTAATTAATTCTCTATGGGCAATCTTTGAATTAAATAAATATATTATTGTTAGAAAAATACTAAAATCAAAATGTCAAATAGAAAAAGAACATGTGATGCCTGTGGGCATATAATTGCAAAGCCTGTAGGATATACTGCAAATAATTTACGCCTTCATGTGAATGGAATCAAGGACTTTGAACAGCTCATTGAATTTAAGAAATACTTTTCACACTTTGTTGAATCTCGGTATAATAAGATTCTTTCATTTAATGTCATAGAAATTTTTGAAAAAATGATTGAAGACCATAATCGATCAAATGATATTGAATATATCAAATTATGTTTATTAGAGTTTATCAATAGTTCACCTAGTTCTGTTAAAGAAATACAATTCTATAAATATCTGAAAGACGAATATTTTGATATAAATGAAAGCTTTTCGAAGTTCTATGATAATTATGCAAATAGTGTAGATAGTCCTCTTAATAAAAATCAGATTTCAAGGGCATTAACAGCTTTAGGTTTAAAAACAGTAATAATGAGAAAGAAACATAATGGCAAATGGTGCTCTATTGTAATGATAAATGCATCAGAGGATGAATTATCAGAAATATTCCAAAAAAATGGAATTTGAGAAGCTATTAATTATTCTTCCAATTCCTTAATTCCAATGCGGTATATTTTTTTATCAATATAGCCATTAGAAAGGAGCCAGGTAAGTATTTCACATCCCTCTATATATTTTTTTTTCATCCAATGGCCTTGAATCCAAAAGATCTTTATAATGCAATAATTGAGAGTTTTTTTCCAAGACTATAGGAGATGGATACTTTATATTCTCCTTAACTTTCTGAATAAAATCAAGCCATCCAGGACCAAGATCTTTATCTTTTATATTAAAAGCTTCCTGGTAAATATACTTAGCCCATGTATCACTATTTTTGGCTTGGATACCTTCTGATAATAATTCTTTGCGTTTATTTGGGGATGGCATATTTCTAGCAAACTTTACTCAGATTACTAATGATTGCTCTTATGATCTTTATTTATGTGTCCTTTAAATATGAATAAGTAAATTATAATAGTACAATATATCATAACTAAGGATAAAAATTATTACTAAATATAGATATGAATATAAGAAATATAAGAAAATATTATACTGGTCTCCGTTCTATATTTGGTAAGGTACGGGCCTAGCTACCAGTTATTTTTCGTGACAATATTTGAATATATTTGTTTTGTTTTTCGGATGTGTTACGTATATTAACAAGATTTAACTGTGTATTTGTGAGAGCTTTTTATAACAGATAATATAAGAACTAAATAAGAATATGTGATAAATTAATGTAAATGATTTATATATTTTTATTAGTTAAACTTAGTAATAATGATAAATTAGGTAGAATAAAAAAAAGATCATAATTTAATTAGTATATTCTTAAATTTTGTAATCCATCAGTATTGTTCTTTTCTAATCTCTTATATTCTTCTAAAGCTGCTTTAGAAATCTTTAATTGTGAATAGTCAAACCCTAAATTGTGTAGTTTTTCTAAAGAAGGTGCTCGACTCATTGCAACATATATTTGACCTTCAGCAAACATGTTTTCATCAACATTTAATGTTACATGTGGTAGAGTTAGGCCTTGTGTTTTATGAACAGTTAAGGCAAATGCATTTTGAAGAGGGAATTGCTGCCTAGATGCTCTCTTGCCATCAATTTCAAAATGACTGGTTTCTTTTTGAACTATAATCTTATTTATACTTGTTAAAGTAGGAAACATCACTTCAACATTATTATCATCATGAATTTTTGTAACAATTCCAATAGTACCATTGCATATATTTTCATCAAACAATTTATTATTAAGGAACATTACACATGCACCTTCCTGTAGATATAATTTATGAGGTAGGTTTGTTAAATTTTTGAATTGATTAATTGAATCTTCTTTATTCAGTGTTACAAAATCCATTGTATCTGAAATAATTGGATTATTGCATGTTTCATCAAAAGGTAGATAATCAAAAAAGATTGTGTTAAGATGTTCAGCTACTTGTCGAGTCCAACTACATGGGTGGTGTTGTAAAAATTACAGAGACTTTTATGCTCATCAATTTTTGATTGAATGATTTCTTTAGTTCTTACTGATATATTTCTTGTTCTTATTTCCTGAAGAATTTTGTAAAATTCAAGATCATTTATTTGTCTTTGTGGTGTTGTTAAAAAAAGAGGGAAGAATCTTTTCCAAACTGGTGATCTAAAAACATAAGAAGGGTGTACAGGGGGAAGTTGAGCCAAATCTCCAACAATAAGTGTAGGTATTTCTCCAAATATAAAATTGTTATTGTGGACTCTGGCAAAGAGATTGCTAATAAATGTAAATAAATCACTATCTACCATTGATATTTCTTCAATAATAATAGCCTCAATTTTTTTTAATTCTATTTTATCTGTAGGATTAGAAAAAATCAATGTCTCATACCCTCCTACTTTGCAAAGTCTTATTTTTAAGGATGAATGTATTGTCCTCCCTCCAATATTTTGGGCAGCTACACCTGTGGGGGCTATTAAAAGGTATTTCTTTTTTTTGTTTCAAGAAAATTTATTACTTGCTTTGTCATAAAAGTTTTGCCAGTTCCAGCTGAACCTGTCAAAAAAAAATATGTATATTTTCCATCAAATGGTCTACCCCACGAATTACACAGAATGCTATATATGTTGTATTGTTCATTTTGGAGTGACAATGAAGATTTTGCATGGAGAGGTATGTGGTATCTCTCTAATGATAATAATTGATTAAAGATAAGATCAGATAGACTTTGATTTTTAAGTTCAGGCAAAATTGATTTTAAAATTAATTTATATGATTTAGATATAAAGTTTTTTTGATCTAAATAACTTTTTTTAAGTGAGTTGACTGCTTGGTCATATCTTAAGGGAAATAGAGATTGGAATCTTTCTCTGTATGTGGTGTAATTTCCTATTAAATCTTCTTCAAAACGTGTAGGAATTTTCATTATAAGATGTTGAAAAAAAAATGGTTCACCATCTTCTACCTTGTAAACAGTGAAGCGTAGAAGAATAGGAGATTTCCTTTGGGCTACAATTCTATTTTTTCTGTCTTTGGTATAAAATAACTTAGATCTTGGACCAGGAACATTAGATCTAATTGTGTAATTTTGGAAATAATCAGGGTATGTAAGATTTTCAAAAATTTCATGTTCTGGTCTATCAAAATATTTGTCTAATGCATCATCCCAGTATGGAGTTCGCTCATCTTCCTCATCTTCATTTTCATTTTCACCATCATTGTCACCAATTGACCTATTATTTAGTAAGTGTACTGATTTTACAGATCTTAAGCGATATTCTGAAGGTGCAGAAGGAAAATAATGTACTGAAACAGAGCATCTTGTTATTGGATATTGAAGCAAGAGTATCATTAATTCCATTGCACCTAATCTCCTTGCAACAATATGTTTACGGTATTCATCAGTTTCATTGATATCAAACAGCTCAGAAGGTTCAGATTTTGTAACATATTTTGTGATGTATCTTGCAAAACCTGTGGAAGTAATAAATTGAAAGTTAATATGCCCATTCCATATTAATAAAGTTTCTGGATGATAAGGAACAATCGTTCCTATCTTCCTCTTTTGTCCGACGGTAGATATAACGTAATGAATCAGGTGATCAATATGTCTCTTTAGACAGTGGCTGAGGGAACCCTTTAGAACATTGTTCTCCATTGGGGCCTTGTCCACCACACCTTTGATCACAATGGTGTACTTGAAACTTCACAACTAAATCATGTAACAATTTTTCTGCAGCATGATCAGGTAAATCAGCACATATCACATTTAAGGAAATCAATTCATTTGTTTTTTTTTCTGTGTAGGCAAAGCCATGTGTATGGATTGTGCCACGATTCTAGAATTCATCTCTTTCAAAATAATGTTTCCATTTACCCCAGTTCACCAATTTAGGATTTTTCCACAATTTGTTTCGTATATTTGTCAGTCTATTCCGATAATGCAAGTATGTATGTAATGGACGATTACTTGGTAAAGTATCACCATTATCAGTAGAGCTCAATATTTCATGTATATGAGACCATTCACCCTCTGCCATTGTCAAAGTATAAAATATTTGAGGTAAACCATAAGCACTTATCATTGTATTGACTTGAAGCTGTTTTTTTTTAAAGAAAGGAGATGCAGTTCTTAGACTTGAAGGTAATGTTGTAGTTTTTGTTTCATCTAAAACCTTTGAATTATTATATGAACTTTGAGCAATTAAATCAGTTTGTGTTGGGTGATGTTCACGATTTAAATTTCGGGTAGATAATATACGATGTTGATTTTGAAAATTTCTCCTTTTTTCAAGTTGTAAATATGACCAATGTGGCCGATACCAATGTAAGCGAAACCGTGGATCAGGACAAAGCATCCGTATTTTTATATATTTTCCATAACTGTCTACTGAAGGCTGAAAATTTAGAACATTTTTAACATACTCATAATGTCCTATTCCATTAGGAAAAAGGTCAGGAAACATCAGGGCTTCTAAATCAGGATTTCCAAATAATAATGGTAGCCTATGATTGTTAGGTATAATTGAACCTGCTATTAACCTATTATAATTTGCATCTTCTTCATGTACCTCTATAGGAAAAGAATCATTTGGAACAACCAAATCAGGTGTACAAGGGGTTTCATCTGGAAGCCTGCTACGGTAAAGATTAAAAATATTATCATTACTCTCAATTGTTTGACGTGCTAATGGCAGTTGTAAAGATATAGGGTCTACAGGTGAAGGTTTTGAAATAGTAATGTCAGATGCATATTTTTTTATAAGAGGATTGTTGTTTTTTAACCATTCTGATGCAGGGACTAAAGAATCATGAAACCATCTTTGGGGCTCATTTACATTAAGGAAAGCACCAATAGCTCCAGAGTAGAGTTCCAAAGTATGGTAATTATGTGATATTCCAATTACGCCCTCCAAATGTCTATAATTAGTGTAAGGATTTGATCCAGAAGCACGCCCCAATGAACAGTTCATGTGAACTGGTGAAAGATATCTTCGATGCAGCATAGGAACATTGTTGATCTGTTCAGGTATTTTTCTTAACAAAGGTGCAAGTCTACGAGTTTTTGGATTTTTACATCCATTACAAACAGCCACTTGTGTTATATTTTTATTGTTTATACGTGTGTGTAAAGATGTATTAGGAAAAGCTATAATCAATGTATATAATTCATCTGGATTATGTGGCAACCATTTGATAGAGGAATTCATCATTAGCATTGAACAGTAAGCACAAGGCACATTTGGATATTCAAATAATATTTTAGTTGCAAATTCATTTAAGAGATTTTGGAGATTTGAAGAAGGAGTCCAAGGAGGGAAAATATTAGAATTTTGATAATTAATATTATTTGAATCATTTATAAAATAGTTATTAAGACTGGGAGCATTTGAAGGATTCTGATTGATTTCATTACGTTGAACATATGAGTCAAAAAAAGAATAATCAAGTTTAGGTTTTTTAGAATTGTTAGAGTTTTCAATATCTTCTGGTGCATAATTTGAAAATTGAAAATGTTGAAAGTTATGTTTAGACATGATTATTATAATTTAATATTTTAAAATTCACAAATGTTAAAACATTTATCTTATATATGTATGTGTGTGTGTTTTTTTATTACATTTATGCGAGTTAAAAGTACAGCATATAAAATTTAAATAAATATAAGTTTATTTTTTTTCCTTTAATTAATAAATATGCTTTAAAAAAATGTAAAATAATTTATTTTTTATGCTCATCATTTTCATATTGGAATTCTTTTGCTAAATAAATATATGAAGTACTAGAAGTAGGTGTTTTGTTGGTAGATGAAGATGATGTGGATGAAGGTGTTTTGATAGGTGATGTAGGAGTGTTTGAATTTTTTTTTCTTTTATTATTTGTTTTGAATTTATTTTCAATTTTTTCCAACTCATCATCTATGTCATCACATTTTCGTTCATTATTGTTAGTTTTTGTGGAAAATTCCATTCTATTTCTGTAGCTTCTAAATGTAACGCATTGGACCTACTAATTCCCATTTTACCTACAATAGAAAAAACACATTTAATTAAATTTTTTTTTAATGCCGTGTACCTGTTATTATATTCATAAGAAACATATATATTGGAATCAATAGAATTTTTAGTAGTTGGATTATAAATTTTTCGTTTGATAATGAAATGGTCTCTTGTGTTGTCTTCAACGTAAGAATTATTTTGCACTACTCCAGAAAATATCAAAATTTGGCTTTGATTCATTGACAAGTCTTCTTCGGTTAAATCCTCATTGTCATTAACAATGATCGTTTGTATTAAGTGTAGCTAAATTTCAAAAACCTTTAGTTAATATAAAAACAAAAATTCCAAAAAGATATTAATATTATTTTAATTACGTATTCAGTGTTATCTTCAAGCGCAAATCGACCAATTAGAACAATTAAAGTTTTTTCGTTAAAGTTGACAATATTTTCATCTTTATTATTATTATTATTAAAAAATCCTTTAAATAATAATTCTCTAAAACTGCCTATTTCTGTCCTGTATATCGCAGTACCAGATATACTCTATTGATAGTTGTAACAACTGATTTAATGAAACAATTTGAAATGAATACTGACGACATAATTTTTTTAAAAATATTTAATATTGGTGTGGAATTAGTATGGATTTTTTTAATAATTTTTATATGAATTTTAACGAATGAATTTTTTTTTTGATAATTGAATATTTTGTTGTAAATAAATATAACGAAGCCATATTTTTATAATATTTACGATTACTTTACTAATAAATTTATTATCTTTATAAATCCTTATTGATATGGAATTGGAACTTAAAAGACTGTATCAAACAAATAATTACAAAAAAATAAAAAATTCGACCAAAAATGTTGTTTTCTTATGTTAAATTAAATAAAAACTGAAAAAAGTCACCAATCGCATAATATGCGCATATGCTAACCAAATTGGAAATTAATATTAACTGCAGATAGATGCGGTCGAATTTCATATAGAGTCCATTAAAATCAAGTTTTTCAGGCTGAAATCATTATCTATGGATTTATGAGAATAAAGAAATATTGATCATTGACATTGATAATATATTTACTATTACTGCTTTTTTTCAATGAAAATTATTCTAGTAGTTGCGTCATCAAGATTAGACATAGATAGATATTCCTGATTAGTGATCAAGTACGATTTTAATAATTTATGATAATAAAAAGTCCTTTCCTTAAAAGACATAAAGGCAGCGCAATTAAAGTATACATAAATAAATAGCGTTGTGATATTGGGTTTGTTCGTCAGTCATATCCGGAATCATTTTCTGACGGTTGAAAAATAAAATTGATCGACATTAATAGGGGGGATTTCCCTGAGGCAAAAATAGCTCACAAACAAACAATGAATTAATTTTATGAGTGAATTTTTCCACGGAATTGGTAATATATTAATATTGTATGAATCGAAACACAATAAATTCAGGATTTTACACATGACTTTTTTAAAAAAATAAACGCACGTCTTTTTTCTTTTCTTTTATTAATATTTTAATTTAATGATTCGATCATGAGTTATTTTTGCTAATGATATATTAAGGAACTCCTCACAAGAAGATGATTTTTGATCTTTAATAAAAATATTAAATACAATCATTTTTTTTAAAAAATATACTTTTCAAATTCTTTGAAAAAAAAAACGCCTCCAAACCTTACCGCTTCGTCTTTTCTCTCTTGACATATTCATCATTGTCTCCCACTTGTAAATAAAAAAATTCCTTCTTTTCCTTCTCCTTTACCAACACCAACACCAACAACACCAACAACAACAATGATAAAAAAACTTAATTTAGCAATATCTGGTATGAGTTGTAAAAGTTGTTCTGGTACAATAGAAAGTACTCTACAAAATCTTTCAGGAATCATAAAACCTAGTATTCGTGTAAATTTTTTAACTGGTAATGCTTCATTAGAATTTGATAATGATAGCTTAACGATTGATCAAATCAAAGATTCTATAACTTCAATTGGCTTCGGTGTAGATTACGTTGAAGAAACCAATATCAATAATAATAATTTGAATAATAATAAGAATAAAATTGGACAAATTGAGATTGAGGTTGATGAGAAATCTAAAAACGCTACTAATACTACTAATTCTATTAATAATGATCATGCAACAGAAGATTCTACTAATATTACAACAAAATTTTTAATTAGTGGTATGAGCTGTGCTTCATGTATAGGCACCATCGAGGCAACTCTTTTACAATTACCTGGTGTAGCACAAGTAAATATTAACCTATTAACAACCGAGGCTTCCATAAAACATGATCAATCAAAAATTGGTGTACGTGATCTAATGAGAAATATTAGTGATATTGGATTTGAACCGCAATTGCTAAAAGCCAATAGTAGTGATTTGCAATTTGGAAATCGAATTCGCCAAAAAACAGAGAAAGAACAAAAACTTTTAAGAAATCGATTTTTGATATCATTATTATTTGCAATACCAACTTTTTTGATAGTAATGGTTTTCGAGATGATCAAACCAAATCCCATTAATGACCTGTTAACCTATCAAATTGTCACTGGCCTGGATGTTGAGACATTAATTCTTTTCTTGTTGGCAACTCCCGTTCAGTTCATACTTGGTTATCCATTTTATTTAAAGGGTTTCAAATCATTATATTATACACGACAAGCAAACATGGATACTTTGGTGGCGTTGGGTACGACTGTTTCATATTTAGGATCAATGATCAATGTGTTGATTCCAATTTTTAGACATAGTTCTGAGGCAGGCTACCAATTTTTTGAGACTAGTATTTTTTTGATTACGTTCATTTGGTTGGGAAGGTGGATGGAGTTGAAAGCAAAAGGTAAAACTTTTGAAACGATCACAAAGTTAATGGAGTTGCAACCAGAAAAGGCCATACTAGTTGAAATCACCTACGATAAAGAAAATAACATGGTTACTGATGAGAAAGAAATTGATTTGGAATTAGTTCAAGGTACTTGATATTTGATGCATATTAATGGAGAGGGAGGTTCATTATTTTAATTGAAATGTATTTGTTATTTTTTTAATTTAGTTGGTGATATTCTCAAAGTAAATCCTGGCGCAAGAATTCCGTGTGATGGTAAGTTATCTAATTAAGTTATATTGTTATTATTATTATTATTTAATTATTAATTATTTATCATCTTTTTTTTAGGAAAAATATATAATGGCATAACAACGTTGGATGAATCAATGATAACAGGTGAATCAATTCCAATTACAAGAACAATAGATGAACCAGTAATAACCGCAACAGTAAATCTGACATCAATGATTTGGATGAAGGCAGAACGTGTTGGTAGTGATACAACTTTATCACGCATAATAAAACTGGTTCAAGAAGCTCAATCATCAAAAAAAGCTCCAATTGAAGAATTGGCCGATAAGATTGCTCAGGTTTTCGTTCCAACAGTAATATCAATTGCCATTTTGGACTTTTTGATCTGGGTCGCACTAACCAATTCTGGGATAGTGCCTAGTGACTGGATCACGGATAATCTCAATAATGCAGTGTTTTCTCTATTTTTTGCAATTTCCGTCTTAGTGATCGCATGTCCTTGTGCAATGGGACTGGCATCACCTACTGCGATCATGGTTGGAACAGGTGTGGCGGCAAAACATGGTATTTTGATCAAGGGTGGTGGCGAGGCGATCGAGACAGCTTATCGTCTTAATACTATAGCATTTGATAAGACTGGCACGTTAACGTATGGCAAACCGAAGGTTGTGGCCATCAAATTTTCGTATAGAAATTCCAATAAGGAAAAAAAATATAAATCATCGGCATTGATGGAAATCATTAGATTGATTGAGTCAGCTAGTGATCATCCGTTGGCTCGTGCTGCTGTACAACACATCGATAAATCATTTATTAAACGACGTAAAAAAACAAATAATTTCGTAGAGTTGGATTCTATCATTGAAGTTCCTGGTAGAGGCCTTGAGGCTATTGTTAGCATTCGAAGTAATAACCCTCTAATAAACGAACTGTTATTATTAGAATCAACCAATGACGCTAAATATAATAATAACAATAAGAATGGCAAAAAGACCATGAAATACTCGGCAAAATATAAAGTTTTTATTGGTAATGAAAAATGGATGCATGAAAACAATTGTATTTATCCAGCTGCTTCAATGTCATTCATTTTGAATAAATGGAAAAAATCAGGTTATTCCGTGGTTTTAACAGGACTATCACGAATCGGTTCATCTAAAACAACAACTTATAATGGTTATATTATGGCAAATATTGGTATTGCAGATACACCAAGACCCGATTCAAAGAAAACAATTGAAAAATTAAAATCGCTTGGTATTGAGGTTTGGATGATAACTGGTGATAATCCCATTACCGCTAAAGCTATTGGTAAACAATTGGGTATTGATAATATTTTTTCAGAGGTGACTCCTGAAATGAAAGCTGATAAAATCAAATGGTTACAACGTAAAGGTACAACTATATTAACAGCAACCCAAGCTAATCATAATTCATCGGCATTCTTTTATTTTAATAAATTTTTAAGTTGTTTCAACTTTAAACACCATGTTAATAATAGTACCACCGTTAAAAGTACTACCATTATTAAACAAGCAATAGTAGCAATGATCGGGGATGGTATTAACGATTCACCAGCCTTGGCTCAATCAAATCTACCAATCACAATTGCAAGTGCAACGGATGTAGCAATTGAATCATCTTCAGTAATATTGACACGATCAACCCTTTCCTCATTGATAACCTTGTTATCATTATCAAAAACTATTATTTGGCGAATCAGGTTGAATTTTCTCTGGGCTTACATTTATAACTCATTGGCTATACCTATTGCTGCTGGTGCATTCTTCCCATTGATCAAACATGGTTTAAGACCTGAATATGCTAGTTTGGCTATGGTTGCTAGTTCTACTACTGTAGTTGTTAGTAGTTTAATGTTAAAGAATTATAAAGAACCAAATTATTATTAATCTTGAAAAAAGACAAAGGCATTTGAAAAATATATTTATTCATTCATTATTATTATAGATTTTTAATCAATCTCTTAATTATATTAATGTAAAAACAAGAAAATAAAAATAATTTTTTAATTACCTGAATTGCATTTATAAATATTTGCAGCACCACCATAGATAGATGAAAAGCTATAAAGTAATCATTAATAAAGGTCAAGTTTAACTGGTATTATTTGTAATGATCCAAACCTTCCAAAAATAGTTTTATTTGATAGAGGGACTCTACTATATGTAGATGTTGTTGAGCTATATATAACTAGGACTTAATTAATAAAACATCAGGACACCTGAATATACTAATTAGGACTCTTCATACTTTAACTTAGTATTAGTAAAAATTGTTTGAGCTATTTAACCAACACATACAACAATAACCCTGTTAAACAAACCATTATTGTCAGAAATCGAAATTTTCCTTTATATGGGGCATACTGCAACAAAACCAGACAAAGTAAACATTGGTATTACCAAAGCTTTCAGGGATCAAAATTTAGTAATGTGATTATTAAAATCTTCCGTTTGTTATCCTCTTAATATTAGGTGATATATAGGATTATCTCTAGACAAAAATAGTTAATATGAAACTCATCTACATCAGATCTACTATGGAACCCAAGAATTATAGTACCATTAGAAGTATTTTAAAAAAGGAACAAGGTGAAAAAATTGCTCCTTACATTTTCAAAATAAATGATACTCAGCTTATCTAAGAAAAGAAAAGATTATTTATGAAATTTACCAAGAAGAAAGGAAAATAATAAATATTGGAAAAAGAAAGCATTATGATGATGCATTATTACCTAATAAAAGTGAAAATCTTTAAAAGGAAAATAACTACCATTTTCTTTGATAGTTGGAATTACACTGTGGACAGGCGACCCTGAACCACTTCTCCTACTGCAGCCATTGATAATCTTTCATAAAATTGGAACATTTTATTTTTATTACCTTATAATTATATTAATTCATTTAATTTATTATTATCTTTATCAATTTTGTGCCATTACATCATCATATACGGGCGATGATCCATTCATTTACTTAATAGTAATTCATTCAATTAATTTTTTTATTATTTATTAATTACCATATTTAGTATTTTATTTTCAATAATTGTATAAAAAATATTATTAAAAAGATTAATATTGTAGAAGGAGCTGGAAACTTTCAATGCTTACAAATTGAACTTGTGGAAATCACAAGGACAAGAAGTAAGTTGAAGAAGGATCCAGCAACTTAGTAATCAAGCACATGTAGTTGCAGGAAAGCCCCAAACTTCTACAATATGCTATTTTGTAATACCTTGAAAATGTATTTAAAGAGAGGAATTTCTTACTTTCCTCTTCATGATTTTTCAGAATTTATTAATAATAATAAAGCAACAAAAGTGAAATATAATAAAAATCGATACATATACAATTTTAACCCTCTCAAATATTTCCATGAAAAGCAATAATAATCGTTATATTTAATATACAACAAAAACACTTAACTTTAATTAAATAATTATTCTTTAATCCAATGGGGATGCCTGATGGGTTTGTAAATACTTAGTATTTACGAGGAAGGCTGGCCAGCGGTTAAGACTTAATTATTTATTAATTAAGCAGGAAAGACTTAGTTATATTTAAAGAACTAAGCAGTTGAAAGACCTAAAAAGGGATGTTAATTGTCCAGAAGACTTAGTTATATTTGAAGAACTAAGTGGTTGAAACACCTAAAAAGCAGACAGTATTTGGAATTTCCCTGACGAATTTGGGATTTAGAAATTATTTTTTGTTTAAGTTATTTTATTTTATTTGGTATTTTATTATTTTATTATTTGGAGAAGGAGTAAAGAAATTAATTAGAATTTCTAAGTAAATTTAATTCATATAAAACTGAACACAAAATAAATTAATTGTGGACGGTAACACAAATTAAATTAAATTGAATTATTGTTAACTTGAATTATTTCAAGGATAACGCAGTAAATAAATAATCGGACACTCATTGTAACTCTAGCAAGTTACAATACAGAGGGAAATTTCCTCAATTACTTTTTTATTTTCAATCAAGATCATCTTTTAGTCTCTTTGACTTCAATTTGAGCAGTTAATTGACCATTTTGCTATTGTAGTTGTGCTAATTGAGTTTTTAAATCACTGATTTCTTTTTCATAAGCAGTTACTTTATCAACTAGTCCTTGTGGAGTTAATTTTTTCAGCCTTTCTACTTCAATTTCTAACTCTTTTATTCTATCCAAGAGTTCTTGCTTTTGTCTTTTACTCCATTCTTCAGATTTCTCTTGAAACTTAGCCACTTCTTCTCTTTCAATCTCCAATGCCTCTTCAGTCTCATTTAGCTGTTCTTGTAAAGAATTTATTTGTCTTTCATAAAAAGCAGACTGACTTATTTCTTCATCAGGTAAGAGGGGAAGTTCCTTCTCTTCCAAGTCTTCATTGTTTCTAACACAGTAGCAAAGTCGTCGGAGGAGGGGTATGGCGCTCCGAAAATTTTGTCGCTCCCCTTGATATATCGCCCCTTTGTGGCTCCAATACCAAAATGCTATCCAATATACTGGTACAAATACATATAATATCTCTTAGTACCAAGATGGTACCAAAGATTGTACCAAAAAAATACATAAATACTAATCAATTTACTTTCCAAATAATCCAAAAACATCAAAATCAACATCATCAATCATTGGTACAATGGTACAAGGACAAAAATCAAAATCTAGAGGAAACTATGCTCCTATATATAATTTTCCCTGAAATATCCTTGTACCTTTGTACCAACCCCCTTATTATACCAGGAAAGTATTAAATCCATATCTAGAACATCAAATTCGATATTAGGCTGGTACAAACTGCCCTTTTGCCCAAGTTATAACCAAAATTGTACCAATTTCCTCTATACTTCCTGTGTAAAAAAACGAATTGAATTAACCCACATTATAGGTATCACACAAAAAAATTTATTCGAATACCTCAACCAAAATTAAACAAATCCAATATTAGTATTATTATCAAAAAATGAGTACACAAAGTCAACTCCCAGTTATTCATAGGAGACAAAGTCTTGAGTCTCCAACTCACCCATTAGTTATACCCGAAATTCTTGAAAATATATTCAGATACCTCCCTACAACAGCATTGGTTAGAGTAACCTATGTTAGTAAACTATGGAGATTAGGGGCCAGAAATAAACTTTATCAAAATCGTAGTGAAATTATATATGATTTCCATAAGTGGTTCTTGAACACATTCAGGCTTAAGTGGGGTATTCCTCAACAATTAATGCCAGATTTTCATGTATCTATTGCCAAAGCTAAAAAATTTCGAGAACTTTTCAGTTAAATATTAAGGCAGAACTACTTATTATAAGAGACCAACTACAGGATAAGTATACATCTATGGCAGTGGCATATAAAGAAAAAATCAAGCCTTTGTAGAATCCCATGAATTATTTCATGTTGATCCAGGAAATATTGTAAATTATGCTAATTACCAAAAATTGGATAGAGAATGAATGCTTATTCAACATAATAGATTCAATTTACACCGAGAATTAGTAAACTTTGAGTATTATCTATTAAGAATGAATATCATTACAGATCTTGATGAAATTGACATCATTATTGATAAATGCACAAATCTTCAGGATGAGGAGGAAGAAATGATATGGGTAGAACAATTCTCAAATCCCAGTAATATTTATTCTGATGCTGATTTTGATGATTCCTTTAACTTTTGGGATGATCCCAATTCTGATGAATTTATGAATGAACTCTTTAATGAACATGACCTGACCTAATAAGGTTTTTACTACTTCTCTGCCATAATCTTCTTAGCGAGTTTTAAGGCCTTCTTATTATTCTCTTTGGCCCTTTCCTTTTTTTCCTTAGCAATAGCTTCTTCAGCAGGAGTCTTTAATTTAATCGATCCATCTTTAGATACAAAAGTATGTTTATTAGTACCACAAACAACACATTTGCCAATTAATTTTTTTCGACCACTTTCAGTAGTTTCCAATCTCTCAGATACAGAATTTGTTTTGGCACGGCATTTAACACAATAAGTTTGAGCCATCTTTTAAACTTAAGATACATTATTTCAAATAGGATTTCAAAATGTCAACACCAATAGATCGTTACTATAAACTCTTTTCATTATCTGGAGTGTCTCCCAAATTATTAAAGAATGAGGAACACTTCAATCTCCATGTTAGACCAAAAAAAGAGAAGTGTTCAGAACAACCAAAAGCAATTGTCTGGGAGGCTAATGCAGTACAAGATTCAGATTTACTAGAGTTACCAATGGATCCAAAAGGATATCTATATTCACATATAGTTATTGATGTTTCAACTCAGGATTTGGATGGAAATCCACTCAAAAGTAAAGATGCCAAAACAGTACTAGATTCATTCAAAAGTATTTATGAACGAGGTCATGTAAAACTTCCTACTTTCAGAGTCAACACTGATACTGGAAAAGAATTTGATAATCATTTATTCCGAGATTTTTTCACAAAGGAAGTTAAAGTGCTAACAAAATTTGGATTTCCTGGAAAACATAGACAGCAATGCTTTGCAGAAAAGTTCAATCAAAAAATACAAGGCCTATCTTGGAATGAATGAATGCAGAGGAAATGTTAACTGGAATAACTTCTGTAGAATGGTCCAATGATTATCCCATGCTGATAGAGGCTATTAGAAAGGAATGGAAACGCGATCCTCTTCCTATTCCAGAAGGTCTTCCTAAAATTTCGAATAAAGATGATTTACTACAAGAAGGAACTCAAGTTCGAGTTATGTTATTTGAGCCTAAATCTGTACTTGGACAAAAATTACATGGCAAATTCCGCACAGGTGATATTAGGTGGGATCCAGAAATTCGAGTAATTAAAAAACTTATATTAAGTCCTGAGCAACCACCAACATATCTTGTTAATGGCCCTCATGGCAAGTTGGGAGTATCACGTTGTGCATATACTAGAAAACAACTCCAAGTAGTTCCAGACAATGAGAATCCCCCTCCAGATTCAGTTATTCATAGTAAACAATATAAATTCATTCCGAAAAAATTCTTAAGCAACGAACTTACAAAGGTAAAAACAATACCTTGTTAAATGGCACTGATATCCTGAGAGTGAATCAACTTGGGAACCAGCAAATAGATTTAAAGAGGATGCACCTAATCTTGTAAATGAATTTCTGGAGTAAAAAAATAGCAGAGCTAGCCGGCTAATTATATTTCAATTTTTTTGAAATGCATATATAACTAATGATTTAATGCTTCCAAAACTGGTGAATTCATTTTTTTGTGCTCATCTCTTGCTGGAATTATAGGGATAAAGAAGTCCTTTCCATTACAAGTAATAGCCATATGCTTTCTAGATTCAAGTAAATCATAGTTATATTCTCTAAGACGAGGTCGGTTCAAAATAAGCTCATGATATGGATAGTTTGCAATTACAGCAAAATCATCTGTTATAGTACATCCTGGTGCCAAAGTTATTTTAACGTTTTTAACAGTACCTAATGATTTAGTGTTAGTTGATGCTCCAGAAAGTTTGCAAATTTTATTTGTATCAAGTATTAATCCAAGTTCTTTATAAATCTCTTCAGGCATAACAGACTTATTGCAACATGAATCTATAAGAATTGGGAGTTTTAATTTTCCCTCTACTACACCTTCAACAGATGCTAAATCTTTTTTATTATCTAAGCGCAAAAGATCGATATCCATAGAACCATCAGAATAAGCTTCACTAAACTTCTGAATTTCTTTGCTTGTAGTTTTCTTAGTTAATCCCAAATGAGTCAATTCCTCTATAATTAATTCATGAATAATTTTTCTCAAATTTGTGGTATCAATTGATATCCCCTTACTCTTTGACTCTTTTTTCCCATCCTTAGTCTTAGTAGGAGGTTTGTTTTCCATTACTTTTTTTTTCGAACTAATTGGAGAGTATATTCATCATCATCAGTAGCAATTTCACGAATCAAATTAGTAGTATCCATAGGATCAGGAACAGGATCATTAATATTAAGAGAATAAATTCCACTGGAAAGGTCTGCAATTTCCTTATCAAGTCTTCTTTGTTCAAGCCTTTCAGCAATTCTATTTGCTATTCTATTAGTGTCAGAGATTGGCTTTATATATTGAGATTTACGCAATTGTTCTTCATGAAATTCAGTTGGATCAGAATTAAACATTTTATTCCATTCCTCAACAGTAAGATTTGTTTGGACTGGCTTTTTAAAATGATCTAGGACTGTTATTGTTTTAGTAGGAATTTCTGTCTCAATATTTTTTTGATATGGAACTTTTGGAATTTTTGCTTGTAATTCCTGAATCTGTAACTGAAAATTTTGTGTAATTTTTTCAGTAGCACTTTTGATCATTCTATCCACATCTTCTGGCGAAAATCCAGAATGACTTGGCTTATGTGATCCTGCTGATGTAGGCTGTATTTGAGCTTGATGGTCAGTACCTCCTGTTCTCTTGGATAGGCCCAATCTCATTTCAGATTTTCGTTTTTCAACTTTTTCTAAATTTTTAACTAATTCACTTACAGTTTTTTCAGCCCCAATTCGTTCCACTTCAAGTTGATTGTCTGGAGATAGCCCCCTAAAGAATTGATGATTAACTACTTCATCGCCAAAATTCAGTAGTTTGCCATATTTTTTAACTTTTTCATAGAAAGTTTTTAACCGGATCATTACCTTGATCAAGAGTACCTTGCATCTTTCTTCTAATACTGAAGGATAGAAGTTTTCAAAGTAGTAAATAGCTTGACCGAGCTGAATTCCAACTAATATTATAGGAACAGCACCACTATTTCCAGCAAATCTAGGTGCATCATCTGTAAGCACTCCACCAGAATTAGTCCAATCTTCTGCAAAAGCTTTTGGTGGGACCATTCTAGCCTCTACAGCCCCTACTGTAATTGCATTATTTCCAGGACGATGTGCAAAGGCATGTGCCAAAGAATGCAGTCTAAAACTATTAGAAGTATTCATCTGCGCCATAGTTCTAGCTTGAAGATTTGCTGTAGTATTTACAGTAGTATTGTCATATATATCAGTTAACATCCAATTTTTTCCGAGTATTTCTTCATCATACCAATCACCAGCAGGTCCAGACAAAGCACTTTGGAATAGACCTGTAGCTTGAACTCTTTGTGCATTATCTCTTACATTAATATTAATACTATCTAGAAACCCATGAAATCTCCTGACAAAAGTAGTTATATCCTCATCCATACCGCCTGAAAAATTAGGTATTGCTACTGAAACTCCAGCCATGTTGATTTTAATATACTTAGCCCATGTATCACTATTTTTGGCTTGGATACCTTCTGATAATAATTCTTTGCGTTTATTTGGGGATGGCATATTTCTAGCAAACTTTACTAGGCGATTTTCTTTTTTTGCTTGAGATATAGCCTCTTGACCAGCAATACTAAATTTACTCTGGGATGATGAGGAATCAGAAATTCGAGTCTCTACAATATTTACCAAATTTTTATTGATTTTTGGCTCTAGTTTTTCTTTAGTTATATTAAAGGCTTTGCTATCTTTTGGAAGAATCTCAGTTCGTGCATCCCACATATGTCTAATTGATAGGGGATCATCTTTAGACCATCTAGTATCAATCACAATAAATTCTTTTTTCATTGTTAAATCATCTATAATTGGTACCAGATGATCTGAATACTCTGTATAACGATTCAGAATATTTTTGAGATCAAACAAGGATCCTCCTCCTCTATGTATTGAAATATAGGTAACATTTTCTCGGATGGGTTTAGGAACTGCAAAGAATCTTTGGGATACATAAATTGGACTGACATTACTATGTCTAGCATGAGTAAAATATTGCTCAATTTTATCTTGGACCTTTTTAGATTCATGCATGAGATCCTCAAATATTATAACAGTAGATCATTCAGGATTGAATTCATCTGTATCAGGAATCTCAGAAGGAGGTAATGCTTTGAATGATACATCTTCAGTTTCTGCAAGTTTGTTATAAAAATCTCAGACAATATTCCATTTTGGTTCATTTAGGAACTTACCAATTAAAATTACATCATTGCAGAGAATATATCTGGATCCATTCTCTTTATCCACCATTTTAGTGCCTATAAGAAGGTTCAAAAGCATTGTAGTTTTTCCTGAATCAGAACTTCCAGCCACAACCATTCTAAATGGCCATGTTGGTGAATATTTATTTCCTTGCTCTAAAGGCTGATATTCATCATTATCATATAATCTATATTCCATGTTTTTTTCAACTATTAGAATAGTAAATCTATATCTTTAATTATGGATGAAATTATCAGAACTAATAGAGAATTGCGCAAACAGTTGGCTGAGGATGATGAGATCATATCTAAATATGAAACTAGAATTAAATCATTAGTGCGGGATCTTGAAAATAGCAACTTAGATATTCATTATCTGGATAAATCCCTAATACAGCGTGAAGCAGAAATTGAAACTTTGAAAGAGGATAATAAAAATCTATCAATCCAACTTCGGAAGGCTTTACAGGATATAGATTCTAAAGAAAATTTTATTGTTTTTAGAGAAGATCAATTTATAGCATTAGAAGATAAAATTTCAACATTTAATAAGAAGCCAAAAATGTCTTCTACACGCCAAATACAGCCACCTAATCCAAATGAAATTGATGTAAGTACTGATAGTATTAATACTGCATGCAGAAGTCTTGATGAGTTCATTCAAAGGCCAGGCAATTCTACTCTAAACCAGAGGACTGCAGTGAGTAAGCTTAACAAAATTACTACATTTACACATAGGCTCCGAGATATTGCTAAATGGAATGATGATCAATTAGAACCACTTCAGGCCCAATTACAGCAAAATCTTCAGGCATTCAATCAGGTGAATATTCAGCTTACACAGGCCCAGAGAGATCTTAATCAACTTCATCAGGATTTTCTTCAGCTTAATGTCGCTCATACTCAGCTTAATAATACTCATACTCAATTTGTTAATGCTCAGACTCAGTT